CGTGACGCTTAGGGTTTTTTGTTAGCTAAGCTATATCTTTCACAATGATATCCTTCTTTGACTTTTTCGCAACCATTTCACAGGTTTATTTACCGCTGATCAGAACCTAAACGGTGACAGTGCAATTTACACCAGACAGAATGCAAATGGCCAGAGAAGAGGACTGGAAGTGCCAGAGGAACGTGATTACTATCCCTACTGGGGCCCCACCCCCTGGAAGGACATTGCTATCATGGTCAGTGACCGAGCTACAGAAGGAGTGATGAAAAAGTACTTCAACAGTCCTAACTATGGCGACAAGGGTAAGTTGTCTCTTATAACTAAACACCATAACTGTACTAGTAAGGGAAATGGCGTCCTTTTGTTTACCATCAGGATTGTGCATTGTGGGGAATAATCAGCCTGGGCACAAACCTTGTCCAAGAATACCTCCCCGTAACAGGCCAAGCGCGGAATGTGTGGCCAAGTACATTACACAGGCTTCGTGTGAACAGGCGGGAGGAAAGTGGACTATAGTAAAAACAAACTTTAAAGAGAAATCCTCTGGCGCCAAGTCTTGTGCCAACATTAAGACCGTCAAGGGCGTGGCGTATGAGCCTCATCTGATAACACAGGGTACTGGAGAGGGCGAGCAAGATCTTGTTCTGGCAGACCCCCCTGAGGTGATATACGCACCATCCACAGTTGTGAATCACAATGGCATGAACATGGACGGGAAGTTCTCTTCATACAAATGGAAGATTCCTCATTTTCCCTCCAACACTATTCAGCGATGCGTGTTGAGAATCAGGTGAGGGAAGCCAAGATTATAGGTGGGGGTTTAAATAGCCCATTGTAAATGATTTAATAGTCGAAAACAAATCGTTGACATTTTATTATGTATATGGTAGCGAAATTATAAAATTTCCATTTGTCAAACCTTTCTCAAATGCACGTAAAATTACCTTTTAACCATTTTTTTACCTATTGGATGGCGTTTGAGCAACATACTATGCTGTAGATCATTGACGGTACAGTTTAGCAAACATTGTTTTAAGCTAGAGAAGGAAGACTGACTCGAGAAGGCCATCGTATGTTGTCGTGAGGCCGCTTGCATTAAATCACCCCAGAAATTTTTGTAAACCATTATTTGTGCGCGTCTCCCCTTTACATGTGTTAGTGTCGCCATTCGGATTAGCGTCAGAGGCAGATCAAATACAAGGTGTTTATTTTACTTCTTTCATTTTGTCTCCCACTAAATAATGATCTGTTTTCCTGTTCCTGTATCTACGACTTATTATTGTTATTTAATAACTGACAGATACAACATCACAACAAGCGATGTACCAAGGCGTTTTGATGCTTCAAACAATGATGAGTAAGTGAACATGAGTACTAAGCGTTTTCACCGAGGCGGTTTGAATTTATTGGAACGAACGAAAGTATTTACGTAGGAAAAGAGTTTTAGTGTCGAAGAACATTTGATTGTTTTAATATATGCACCAATATCTGGCTGCCATGAGGTCATGTGAAAACGCCCTGTCACGCTGAGGACATTATCTGGAAGCCGGAACGGACACATCAAGGGCGTCCCATTCTTGACTGATTAACTGACGACTTTCTTATTATTGATTTTTCAGGTGCAATCTTTACTTTTCAAAACTTAGATTATCTTAACAAACAGGCCACGGGAGGTATTTAAGGACAAATACAAACTGTCACCGTGTTGGGCTAATGAAGTTAGAATACGTAGCTTAGCAAGTGCAATCCTTATGAAAGAAAAAGTTTTAAATAAGTCTATAAGAGACTTTTTTTGATATCTGGAATCAAATTTCTGACCCTAAATTGGTGATATGAAAGTGAGGTTAAGAAACAGCAGTAAAATCGTGAAAAATTATTGCCTTTTTAGCGTAAAGAATAATCCCACAACACTTGCTGTTAACGGCAAAACCAAGCTTCAACTGGCCTTGAACACGGCTCAACTGGGTCGTACATTCCAGGACAGAACACAAGTAATCTACCTCAAGCCAAGAAGCTCTTTGCCCCAACGATTCAAGAATTCCAAAATCTTCTACATCGGAGGAATGGGAAAGAGAGGAAACATCGTTCAGGCTTATCCAGCCATGGAATATCGATTCACCCCTGAACGTATCACTGTTTCTAGAAATGATGTCTTGTGCTTCGCTTGGTCAGGTGAGACTGTTTGAAATAACATAGTTATGGGCGGTGACAGTTACGCCTTCAACTAAAACATATACATTTAAACCAACAAGCCTTGTCCAGAAACGCAATATTTCCCGTTGTAAGGTTACATAAGCCACGTCATGGTTACTTACTTTTCAGTACAAGGAAAATCACCAAAAAAACAGATTTTTAAGATAGAAAAACATTGTAAATGAAAAATTAAACTTCACCGATTGACATGGATTACAAATGGAGGGCTTAGAAAATTTAGAGAAAATTTTTCAAGATGCGAAAAAGCAGTGGTGTACCTCCTTTGATTCGTCTTCTAAGACGTGCTTATGATTACAGAGTCAAAAGAACATTTTAATGTATATCAAGAGATATTCTCTTTTGTGCATCTTGAACGTTCAAAAATAAGACTAACTTCACTCAATATTCATTATCAGGGTCAGAAAGTTAATTTTTCGTTGTCGTTCTTTTCTTCAGGCTCCAACAATAATCCGAACAATGCTGGCGAAGGACAAGCAAGTGAGTAGTTTCGATAAAATACATTTACTAGCGCTAAATAAAACACGAAATATTCTTCCTATGAACAAAACATTTGGATTTCTTTCAATATCAGCTCCAAACTTGCTGCATACCCCCAAAACTCGATATACGCACGTCAAGGTGAGAGGAAACACAGAGATAAGAACAGGATAAAATTATTCTCCTGTCAGCGCCTGGAAATTTTGATCCTATAGAAATTTTTGTATCTTTTCAGGATCAGATAGAACAAATGTGTGCTGGGTAAAGGAAGGATGCCAATCTCTTAAACCAAAAGCTTGTACGAGCCTGCCTCTTGAAGTAGTTGAACAGGCTGATAAGTTTTCTGCGGACAAGTTGAATCTTCACCTCAACACTGGATGCGGTGACGAAAACAATCTGCAGGCTCAACTGAACAACGCCCCAGCCTCTTGTAACCCGCCTTGCTTCCGCATCACGAAGCCTGGGACATACTGTTACATGGGCACGCGCAATAACAACTTCTCCAACCGCCGTCACATAGGACAGATCACCGTTACTTAATGT